GCTCAGGGCCAGCAGGGTGAGGGGTCCCCAAATGACCTGCCAGCTTTTCTCCTAGCCTACCTCTATTCTGTAGCTTGAGCCATGATCACTTGACGAATATGTCCTGGAAGAAAGTGAGGGAAATGCCCACCACTTCCTTTCCCATAGCTGATCTCCAAAGGTGAAGCTAGGGTGAAGTCTAGCACATTAAGATGAAGGCTTAGTATCACCTGAAGTGAGCCCAAGTGCAGCAATCCAACAACAGGTCACAGGAGCAAGGTCACTCCAGTCCAGAAGACCCTGCACTCTGTCAGGTCACTGAACCTCGCTGAATGGTGAGGACTCCTGCCCATTACCTACAGGTAGTCAGATGTGGCTCATCCCTGACCAGGGCTTCCTATTCTATATAGGTCAGAAGTCCTGTGGGGAAGGGAAGAGTCCCACCCTGTGTTGTTTGACCAGTGGGCCAGCAGATATCTCCACTCTGTATCTAATACCCACAAGCCCACAGAATTGTCTAAATAAGCCTACCTCGAGTCCAGGGCTCACCCACTCCAGTCATCTGAAGCTTCTAGCCCTACTCTGCCCCAATGCAGACCTGTGTGGCCCTGCATGGAGAGCTCTCTGAGTCGCCCATTTACTCCAGGTGCAACTGTGATCATCACCTATTCCTCGTTGCACATGTGACTGTCTTGTGCTATAAGGGCAACATTAAGGTAAAGAGGTGGCCAACAAACAGCCTATTGGGTCCAAAAGACCTAGCCTTCAGTCATCCACAGCCTTGCTGTACCCCTCCCCCACACTGCTGCCCAGGGCTTTAGGAAACCTCATTACAGTTCTCAGCAGTTTTTCCTGCTGGGGAACCATCCAAACAGCTCAGGTTGATAGCCAAATAAAACACGGTCTGGAACTCCAAAGGACAACCCCACAGATGGAGCATTCATGTCAGACTTGGGAGTGGTGGGGGGCCCCTCTAGCCTCAATGGCAGAGGGGTGTGACTTGAGCCAATATTTGCTTGAGAAAGAGCACTGGCTGGGCACACACACTTCAGGGGATAAAGGAAAGGGGTGTCCCGAAGAGCCAGGGAGAACTGCTAGGGTCCGGCAAATATCAGATCCTCAGATTCAGGGGTGTCCTCTTGACCTGCTAGGCTAAAAGTAGGGTGCATACTGCCCAGCAGACTGACCTAATTAAGGTACTTTCTCCTCAGGCACCCGTCTGTGAGTCCATCACCCACAGGCCGTGGAGGGGGCCAGGAAGCTCCCTGTCCGAAGCTGGTCAGGCCAGAGACAGAGGGCTTTTTGTTGTACTGAGATTTCCAGAGTGAAGCTGGCTCTGAGTCTGAGTGATTTTGTTCCATAGGCGAGAGATTTGGCCAGTGCCCAGCTGGGGATAGAAAGATCTGTGTGTTCTGTTGGGGCCACATCACTGCCCAGCCGTGGTGGGAAATCAGGGCGGCTGTTCATGAAGCTCTGACTTGTTGAATGAAGTCTGATTTTCCAGAATAACTCTGATATCAGGCTGTGCTGACTGAGGTTGCCTGCCTAGAGATTGCATTCAGATTATAAATGAAAATATGAGAATCGAAGGCTTGCTTCCCCCCACACACACACTCACACACACAAAGCTGAATGGAGCAATTAAGATAAGGTCCCACTCTTCGAAAAAGCTTTTAGCTAAGAAACTCAGTGCCAACCCTTAGTCAGAAATAAGCCTTTGCTGACATTATCAGCCCCGTAAAAATCTGCCTGTCATGAAGGTGCTGACACCACCAGACACCCAGGCCACATAGAGATGAAAAATCCCAGCAGCTTTGTTCTGAAAGGAGAAAGTTTGGCCATGAGCTATAGTCCCGACAGAATGTGAAAACGCTGTTGCCCTGGAGGATCTTGTTAGGACAGTGGACTGGCAGTCAAGAAGAAAGTAGAGTTGAAATGATTGATATTAAAACATGAAACCATCACTAATTAAACACTTGTAAACCACTCGCTTTTTATTTTTTTTAGAATTTCATTCATAAACACAGACATCTGATATCCGCCTCCACCACCACCACCATCACCTCTACCATCACCTCTGCCACCACCACCACCAACTCCACCTCCTCTCCAACAAGTAAGCAAGTGGGGACATGAACCCCGGCCCTCAGAGTCAATGTCTGACACTCTGCCAACTGGGCTAACCAATCTCTTAAATACTTGTAAGCTTTCTTAGCATCTCACAGCTGCCACGTACCCCAGTCCAACCCCTCAGGACCCATTGTCCTCAACCAGGCATCTTCTCAGCAATAAGAGGCAGCCACCAATATGAAGGAGCCCAAGGCCTGTCTGGAAAGGGAAAAGCAGGCTACGGCAGAGAAGAGGAGTGAGCCATGGGAATGGGAGAGATTGGAAGCAGCACATGATTCTGACCGCAGCTCAGGTATGGACTTGGTAATTATGCAAAATGAGAAAACAATCAGCCTCATGAGGCAGAAATAGCCCTACCACCACCTCCACTACCACCCCCTCCACCACCTCCACCACCACCACCACCACCACCACCCAGACCACCACCTCCTCCTCCTCCTCCACCACCACCACAACCACCACCACCACCACTACCCAGACCACCTCCTCCTCCACCACCACCACCTCCACCCCATCCCCCCACCACCCCCTCCACCCCCAGCCCTATCACCATTACCATCACCACCACCACCTCCTCCACCACTACCATCACCACCACCACCACCACCACCACCACCACCACCACCACCACCATACTGCTGCTCTGATCTCAGGTGGTTTATACTGGACAGCACCAGTGTCCCTGCCTGGGCTGGGCTGATCTTTGGGGTCCCCACACTTGGGATGGAAGAAATCTAGGACACAGCTTGTTTCTACAGGTTCACACAATGAGGGTTTGTTGGTGTTGGTGGTTTAGGGAAGCACCTGGGGGAACACTATACCTCCATTGTCTTGGAAAGTGTGTTGCTGCTGGCTTGGCACCTGACAAGACTTCTATACACCCTGCCTCAGCCTCTGAGTCCTGCAAGTTCCCAATGGCAACAGCAGATAGCTCAGTACAGACAATTCTCCTTGGGGTACGCAGTGGCCATGAGGCAGGTGAGCACAGGCGCTAGAACTGTCTGAAGGGGAGAGCACCACCAATAGGCTGGAGTAGCACCAGGCCTCCTGTGTCCTGGGGGAAGAAGGGAAGCCTGCTTATGGAGGCCACAGGAGACCTCTGGAGTCTTGGGTGAGGAACACCCTTCACCACCACACTTTCCAACAAAATGAGTAGAGGGCATTCCTAATAGGAAGGTCCTTCCAGAGCCCTTGGTAAGCCAAGTCAGTGGTTGAAGTCCGGAAGGTGAACTGAGTATCTCTTTGCTGGCTGCAGATTGTAGTTTAAAAAGCCAAGAGCACTTCAAATACCCTCTCCAACAAAGGACAGTCTCTTAGCAGACCTCAGCCAGAGTGAAGGACCCCAACTCGTTTTAGCCACAGTTATACTGTTTTGCAAAGGATTCACAGTAACAAGCTCAGCTCAGGGCCTCCGGAATGCTGAGCAAATAACAAGCTTAATTCAGGGCCTCCGGAATGCTGAGCAAAGATACCTGAGGTTAGAGCAAGGACAGCCTTATCTAGCTGCAAGACAGGGTTTTATGGACTGGCCATAGAAACAAAGAAAGAGAGGATTGCGAGGCCTGAGTCACGTATAAAGCGGGGCTCTCACGAGTCAGGGGCTGTGCAATCAGACATCTGGTCGCCAGCCAGGAAAGGGGGGGGCAGGATAGGAGGAACAGTAAACCGCTGAGTAGTCCCCTCATTGTTATTTAGGTTAAAAATTTACCACCCTGCATCTTGCTTCTGTAAACCTCGCTTTTTGCTCTCCTATAAGAACCCCTCACCCCCAACCTGCAGGCGCGCAAGTCCTTCGAGAGACTTGGTAGCCCCAGGTACCTGCGTATCCAATAAACCTCTTGCTGTTTGCATCCGGCTGCGTGTTTTCGACTGATCTTTGGGCACGGGGTCTCTCCCGAAGGAAGATGCCCACGGGAGTCTTTCAAGAGGAAAGACAGACCCTCTCCCAACTAACCCCCAAGTTAGCTATCCAAGAGGCACAATGAGGATTTCAGTCTCAGGAATCAATTTTGACTGCCATCTGTAGTATTCTCATGGCATAAATAGTTCAGGAGCATGGGCTTCTAGGACCTCTTTCCTGGTGCTGGGAGCCTCTGACCCCAGGCTGCTCTGGTTACTTTGTGAGACTCGTGGGGTTTATTCAATGTGTGGCCTCATTAGGCCCCACGTGTCCACACCTTCTCTCTGAATATTCACTAGAAAGTGGCTCCCCAAGAGGATGGACACTTCGTTCAGCTGTCACCCTGCAGTAGATCCTTGACACCTCATTTCCAACCATCTTTCTCCCCGTTCTCTCTGGGTCACCTCAGTCTTGTTTCATCCACATCCCAGGGCAGGGCCAGCACCCTAGCATTTCTCTTACATGTTTCCCCCATATCCAATTGAAATCTAACTGCCCTCAAGTATCTGATAGGAAGCTCTGGAAAAGCAAGATAGTATAGTCTCTGGAAATAACAAGATGCTACTTCAGAGTAAGTAAAAACCCAAATACACAGGAAAGTGGGGGTCCCAAGACATGTATGATACTGATGGCCCATTTATATTGTCAATCAAATGACAACAGGTTCCCAGAGGTTATATTCTACAAAATGATTTACAACTAAGAACTTTATTACTTGAGTTAGAGAGACGGTTCAGTGGTTAAGAGCACTTGCTGCTCTTCAGAGGACTCCAATTTTGTTTCTAGCACCCACACAGTGGCTCAAAACCATCTGTAGAGTTCCAGGAGATTCAACACCTCTTTCTGGTTTCTACAAGCACTACACATGCCATGTGATGTACATACAAACATGCGGGCAAATACACATACATAAAAATAGATAATCTTTAAAAACTTTATAACTGAATTTAAAAAAAATAAATGGGAAGAAAAATCAGAGAAGACAATTAAGTCAGCACCTTAGAAACAGCTTTAATGACAAAAACAAAACAGTTTGCATGAATATTACAATGTAAACATGCTAGCTGGCTTTGCTTGGCTTTTCTCATGGCTTTTGCTAGAGTTCAATATTCCAAACTCTGAAGAATTCTTCCTAGATGTAGCTCTCAGGAGATGTTTTTATGTCTCCACTTCCTCTGCTCCCACAGTGCATCTTTACCTCCTGAGGCATGCTGTTAAACAAAAACAGAAACAAAAAACCTGAACCTGCTATCTCTGACTCTGCAAAACACAGGAGATATGCCTATAAAGAGAAAGGGTATTTCTCTTTACCCTTATTTAATATTAAGGGTAAATACATGGACCTGGTATTTCATTTTGGTCCATGTTTGGCTGTCCCTGTTGTTTTGGGACTGTGTTGAGGCAGCACACCACAGTGGAGTCCAGAGCAAGAGTGCTGAGGTCTGGCTCTGCATAAGTTACTACATGTTGCATAAAACTATGAATTTTTTAGGCTGTGCCTTTTCTTGAGAGACTCCATTTCACAAGGAGTCTTCAACTCCATTTTGAGGATGGGAGATAATTGCTCTCCCGTGCAAACAAGGAAACGGTACCACCTGTACAGCACCACCCATGCAGCGCAGTCTGATAAGGACTTGTTCCTAGTATGAAAAGGGTGGAATGCTATGAATTTACCAAGGAGAACTGAGACAATACACATGGGCATACCAAAATCCTATCAGGGAGACCAGGCCTTATCAGATTTATGAGACACGCCAAATCAAGGAAACGGTGTAACTTCCTCACACCTGGACCTCATAAAGTGATATACATTTAACACTGCAATGACCTCCCACCAACCTAGCATCTGATACCTCATGTGTGCATGAAGGACCTACAGGACTGTGCCTGGGGCTTCAGCTCAACTCTGTCCCCCGATGTTAGTGTGTACTACTCAGCCGCAGCTGCCTGTCCTCCTGCCCGTCTCACCCATTTAGACCTGAACCCACAATTTCATGCTCTGACATGGTTCTGCCCTCTCATCTCTCCAGCTGACCACATCTTTGGTCTCAACCCTGACTCTCCTTCAGACTGATTTCTAACAGAAGCAGCTTCTTCTCTCTGGCTGCATTTGGGTTCCACATCTTAGCCACAGACATTTTTCTAGAGCCTCTTTAACTAGTAATGATGTTACAAGCCACATATGTACCTATAGCTATGTAGATATATTTACTTTGTCCTCTGTGATATCAGAGTTAATATCAGTAATTAAAACCGAAATAAAAGAATTCAAGGGAGATGGATGCTCATACTTTTAATTCCATTTCTCAGGAGGCAGAGGTAGGTGGGTCTCACTAAGTTAGAGACCAACCTGGTATACACACTGACTTCCAGACCAGCCAGGCTGCCAAGGCTACAAAGTAAGATTCTGTCTTAAAAAACAAACAAACAAAAAGATAAAGAACCTACATTTGCACGGTAGGTGGAATTACCTGGGAAATCGCTGCCCTTAAAGCTGTTGCACCCTGTGAATTTGTTGTTTTTCAATAAATTCTGACATGGTGACAAGCCACAGACATGCTAGTCTCTGTTTCTGTCAATAATGCACTCACCATGAAAACCATTCACTTTGAGGTCAGGAAGCAAAACAGGGAAGAGGAAGCAGCTGAGGCCCTACTGTGCCCTCAAGGGTCAGTCCAACAACTTAGCGTCTCAGTGGGCCCTGTGCCTTAATGTGTCCACTGCCTTACACAACACTGCCCCAGGACCTTTAGCAGGTACTGAGCCCAGGCCTGAGGCCTCCCTCCAACAAGTGGTAGCACTCAGGATTTCAAGAATCCATTTATCCAGTCAGCCAAGAAGGCCTCTCGTAGTTCCCAATGCCCTGTGTCCTGAACCTGACCCCCAGTGCTGTTACCTGAGACAGGCAAAAGTATATTTTTGCTAAAATTCTTTTCCAGGGGAGATAGAATCAATGTTCACCCTCCTCCTAGGGTCCTAATGACAAGCTGAAGCATACTTCTGACAAAGCTCATTGTGGAGAGACAATAAATTCATTGGGGTTCCTTACACAGAAGAGGTGAGGCTTTAACTTACAAAGGTGTGGGTGCTCCTCCCTCAACAGAACACACCCAAAAAGGCTTTACCCAGCAAGGAAGAGAGCTTCCCTAGTAACTGCATAGACAAAGCTCCACCTCACCTAGTCTAGCCTGTCTAGGCCACATGCAATTAAGGCAGAGTTGTATTAGAAACTGTCAAACTTAGAGTCTGGTGAAGGCACACTAAATGAGTGCTTGCTTCTCAGGGGGGAATTTAGGTAACTAAACCCCCAGTTTCAACCCACCATGCAACACTGAAGAAAGTATGGCTGATTCCATAGTCTCACAATCCCTGCCCAAGTTGGCCCACAAGCTCAAGTCCCACTCATGAGAAACTCCATGGTTGCTGTTGCTACCCCTAAATTTCCCACTTGTTCATGAGAAGACTGTCAACCCCGGAAGGCAGACAGGAAGCATAGGGTAGAATGGCTAGTTCTGTTCTGGACACCAGCACTCACTATCGCTTTAAGAAAGCCTTTGGAGGAAGCTCCACCCGCCCTATATCAGAGAAGGGCAGGGAGGCAGAGGAGAATGGCCACTGAAAGACCCAGGGTCTGAGGCTAGAGGGCAGTGGTTGCACTGTAGCCTGATCAGGGATCTGTGGTTACACTGTAGCCTGATCCAGGGTCTGAGGCTAGAGGGCAGTGGTTACACTGTAGCCTGACCCTAGTTCAGAGCAACAATCAGGTGATAAGGTGAGCTGTGACTTTACTCAGCACTCCAGCTCCCCAAAGGTGTCTGAGTCAATCTGTCCACTCTAAATACAGCAAAGGAAAGTGACCAGGAACATGTTGCCTCAGAGAATGTTTGTCTAAAGCATAACTGAGCACTATAGTGTTCAAAGACACTTGGTACAGCTCAGAGTGTGCAAATAAACACTCACTTCAACTGGGAAAGCATCTGCCAAAACACATACCTATTCTGGGTCACTGGTGCCTTTTTAATAGAGATATTTGAAAGAGAATTCACCAGTGAAGTGAAACATTTGTCCTTCAGCTCTGATTGCACAAGAGTTCTAAGAAGGGAGGGCACATTCCATGTTGTCACAGAATGGGGCTGGAGCATCCTTCCCCAAACATCCAGATACCTTGCTCAGTGTCTGATGGCTATGACCCATGCTTTCTCTTTAAAGCCAAGCGGCATGAGAAGTCTGTGATCTTCAGAGACTCTGGGCCCGGTTCACTCATGCTGAAACTATGTACAAGGGCTCTATTCAGATAAATACCACCACGGTGAAGAGCCAGACAGGTGCCCTCAGTGCATTGTCAAACCATGTGCATCTGCTCAAGACCTCTGCTTGCAGGAACACGGGTGTGTCATACAAACAAACCTGTGGGCCACCAGACATTCACATCAGCATGTATGTAGGATGCAAATGTGTGTAGGTGTGAGCAGATACAGGTGTTCCTAGTTGGTACAGGCACCATTAAAGTCTCCTGATTATCTTCATGTGATGCCTAGGGGGAGCTGTGACACACACACATATACATAGGCACACACATATACACACATGTACACACACATGCCTGTGCGCACACACATGCATGCACATACACGCCCACGCACATACACGCAAACACACACACACATACACACATGCGCACACACACACATGCACACACACACCCCTCACATGCACACACATACACACATGCACACACACACATGTGCACACCCACCCACACACACTCACCTATGATAATATCCACTATTAGTTCCTACTTGGGACAGACAGAGGGAGCAGAAGGGAGAGGGGGTGCAGCCCATACATTCCACCCACTTCCTTGTGATGTGGCAGTGTGGTACAGACCTGGTAGGCTCGCCCTGGTATGTCACAGGGCCAGCTGCTCCAGCTTTGATGACCTGTCACCTGAGGCTCCCTGGGACCTCTCCCAGCCCTTCCCAAACTTCCCTGTGGGGACCCTCCCTGACTGCTGGGGGTAATTTCTTCTCTCTCTGGGTTCATGTAGACAATGGGGTATTAGTTTGCAGAGGGGACTATTCTGAGCATCAGGACTCTGCTCCACCCGAGCTGATACAAAAATAGTTAATTATTAATCAAAATGAAGATATGTGTAGGTAAATCCTTCTAAAGTGTTTTTCTTCTCCAGATAAATCTTTTTTTTTCTTTTCTCAGACAATGACTATTACACGACCTAAATGCCTTGTGGTTTCGAGCCAAAAGCCACATCACTAAGAATCATCTGCTGATCCCTCCAGCATCTCAGGCAAGTCTAACTTGTGCCCTGCAGGCTACCTGTGACTAGAGATAGCCAGAAATGAAGCCAAAAGCTTACACAATTGAAAACTTACTTAAAACATTATGAGATTTACTTTGTAATTTGTTGGAACCTGATTCTGTGGTTCTCCAAGTGAGCTCTGTGGGTGACCATTTCACATGGCAAATGGAGAAAAGTTGTTCACCCTTGTTAATGAGCTTTGCTCCAGGCACTTTAGATCATGGATAGCTGAGAAGATGGAGCTCCCAGGGTGGTGAACTTACAAGGCTGATGTAGGATTCCCCTCTGTATGCTGTGAGTAAAGATGGCAGGGCAGAATATAGCAAGGCAGGAAATCTAAGCAGGGGAAGCAAGAAGTGGAGTCAGGGAGATGCCATGTAGCTGCCAAGGAGAAAGACATTGAAACCTCACTGGTAGGTCACAGCCTAGTGGTGATACACAACTAATAGAAATTGGTTAATTTAAGACGCAAGAACTAGCTAGGAATAGGCAATATGCCTAAGCTATTGACCAAACAGTGTTGGGATTAATATAGTTTCTGTGCGATTATCTGGGTCTGAGTGACCAGGAAATGAACGAGCAGTCTCCTATTACACAAGGCACAGAGGCTACCTGAAGAAGGGGCAGAAGGGCAAATGTATGAAGCAACACTGAAGACCAGAAAAAGCAGGACACGGGGGAAAACAATAGGGACAGACCTACAGGTATCAGACCTGAGAGACTGGACCACCAGACTCTCCAGGAATCCCTGTGGGTGGAGGCAGTACATGGAAAGGGACCAAGAGGCCAGGCAGAAAGGTCTTTACCATGGGATAAGCAAAGGCCGTGGGGCTGGGAGGAGCTGCAAATCAGAGTTTCCAGAGTAAGTTAAAAGATTGTCTGAATCTATTTACC